TTAATTTTTATTCAAATTATTTAAAATCAATTTAGATTTATGGTTTTTTATTAAATAAATTAAATCAACTTAACTTTTTTTTATTTTAAATTAATTGAATTAATTAAATTAGTTTCTTTAGGCTTTTATTATTAAAAAATTTCATTAAAAATAATTTAGGGTTTTATTTTAGGTTTAAATTAATTCCCTTTTCTTAATTAAAATCAATTAATCATTAGGATAAATCATCAATTATTTTCCGTTAAACAATTTCTCCGTTTCTTTCCACAATCTTCGCGCTTTTCTTATTTTCGCGTTAGTTTTCGCAATTATGTACCTGCTAAAAGGTTGTAATAGTTAATTAGGCTTTTTATCGCTTTCTTTCTTTCCCCAAACTTTGTGGTTTTGTACCCCCTTCCCCAAAGCATTATAACAACGTAGACTATTTTCTTTTTACTACTTTTACTTATTACTGTATAGTAATTAGGCGTGTATGGTAAGATAAAAGGAAACACTAGCTAACCCTAATACATAAGACAAATTAACTGAAAACAAATCACTTTTCACACATGCACCTCTAGGGTAACCTCACGTGTTGCCTTCAGATAAAAATAGTAATGTCCCTCGAACGTGAGACGCTTTAGCAAAGACCCTCGATTTAAAAGATCGTAGTCCCTCGATGACCCTTCGATGCTGCCTTCGATAAACGATCTTAGCCCCTTACGATAAATTGCTAAAGCACCCTACGAGTTGCCTTTATGACAGTACGATGACCCACACTTGTCCCTCAAACATCCAACGATGTGGCTTACTACTAACTAATGGTAGGATAACACTATCTAAAGGAAGAGGAAAATAACGCGGATGACTTTTGAGTAGGTAGATAGCTTTTAATCGCTTGCTCACAAAAAACATCTCTTTTCACACAAACACTTTTCTGAATTATTTTCAAAACAAACACTTTGTATGCGTTCTCAACTGATACAAGAATCATTACAAAGTTGCCGAACTTAGGCATTTTTCAAAATATTTTTCAAACAAGTTCAGAAAGCATTTTCAAAGTGAGCTAGTGATTAAGTGCTCGTAGATAACTACGAATGAAAAGGGTGCTAACACCTTCCCTTTTCATAACCTACCCCCTGAAATCAGAAAAATTCTTGAAGGTCTTTCCTGTTCTTTTCACCCTTTCCTTCATTAGATAAAAGAAAAGTCAGTGACGACTCTTGCTATCCACAACATTTGCGGTAAAATATAAACCAAGTAAGTTCTCCCACTGTATCACACAGTACATGCATCCTTTTTTAGGGACTGCCTCCTTCACCATTAAGAGATGTATCGAGCACTAACATCGACATTCAATCAATGACATGCAACACTGGGGTTAATGTCAGGCATCTCATGTAGAGATATAAGAAAGAGGCATGCGTTTGCCTAAAGACATTTAATTATGATGGACCTTATTCCCAGGGGAAGCTCGAATACTATCTTTACCAACAATATTATGTTATCACTAAGTTGGACAAATTCAAACTGACCATATGTAGTAGGTCAAACTTCCTCCTCGCGCGCGTCAAGATCGAAGATAGAAGTATTCCCAATATTTTCTTCTGTCACCAACATCGATGCAAGAATGTCCTCTTGGACGAGTCCCTTGATTCACCTAGCTTCTTCTAGGTCAACACTAATAGTGGGCGACCTTTCTTCCATATCACAATAGGCGACTTTCAAGTGGATCGACGATGCCACAACGTCTAACTTCTCTGAGAAGGATCTCTTAAGGTTACATATAAAAGCACTTTTGCAAGGGATTAAAAGGAAGTTGATGATTACTCTCTTTCACACATTCCTTCTCCAATTGTCAATGTCATATATATCACCCCTTGAGGATGAGTCATCAAATAGTTGAAAGCTAACAAATCTCCCCCGATATACATAGTTAGATATATTTGTTGGGTACCTAACAATTCTAATGTGTCTGCATAGAGGATATTGCATGAGCTTCCATCATCCACGAGGAATCCTTTCACGCTTTAATCAAAGATGGTGACTGCAAGAATAAGAGGTAGATCGAAGTTAAGAATTCCATTGGTCTTTTTGCAATCTAGAAACCCTAACTCCAATCAATCTCCACTTTGTTGAACGCTAACATATGTCATAAGTAGAAAGACATATGGCAAATGACGAGTGCTAGAGGATGCATCACAAAACTCTTTAATCAGTGATAACTGGTGAACGATTAATTTAGGAGATGAAATGAACATCTCAGACATGACTACCGAATTTACCATTTTTACTCCTTATGCTTCCAATAAAGATTTTGATTTCATATCGAGATTGATCTGATAGTGGATTTTCGCAGGAATCAAAAGTCGAATCCCCTAGACGACGCTACTGTTTTGTTTAGGAACCAAAATTGGATACATTTGATGAACTGGAGAGCATATATAAATGTCTATAAATGAGTGTATGAGATATCTTGATTCTAGCAGCGTGTATAACTTCTCATGGGGTATCTCAGACATATGCGACATGCATAACTTCTCACAGAGTATATCAGCCAAATGCGACGTACAAAGCTTTCATGGTGTATCTCGATCCTAGGCGACTTATATAGCTTTTCATGGGGTATCTCAGCCCTAGGTGGAATTGTAACTTCTCAAAGTGTATCTCGACCCTATGAGACAAGTATATCTTCTCTCGATGTATCTCGACCCTGACTGCAGAAGAATCTTCGTGAGAGGCCAAACCCATTTTACACTTAAAAACGACCTACATACTTGCACTCTCCCTACCTAAGATGTACATAGTCCTATAAACACGAGGCTTATAAGAGTGAAGTGCTTGAAAAATAAAGTCGTTCTAATTGCCAACACCCATGATGTATATAGTCTCTCAACCATGAGATTTGAAGATGTGAAGTGCACAAATACAAACCCACTTCAAATCAAATAACGAGATAACGTAATCACATCAAACTAAAAGGTGGGGCTTTGAACAAGTCAGAGAAACACATTAAAACAAATAATGTTTGACTTTTAAAATATTAATATGTAATTTGTTAGTTCCAATTTATTAAATAAGTTATTAATTTTATTAACTTTTAATGATATAATAAATTCGTTTAAATTATTCAATTTAATAACTTTTTAAATTTGTATATTTATTATTAAAATAATAAATTATATACTTTTTATTTTTTATATTTATTAAATCAATTTAACTTATAATGTATGACAAAAAAACAAAAGAAAAAAATAAATTAAAGGCCATATCAACCCACGTCAAAAATGGTGGTGTGAATATCTTAAGATTTTATAAAAAATAATTTATTCTTAAAATTTATTGAATTAACAATCTATTTGATTGATTGATTATATAGTTTAAGATTTATTTTTCGAATGTAAATTTTTTTTTTTGCGATTATAATTATGATTCCCTTATCATTGTTATTTTTCTTGCGATTATAATTAAAATTTATTTTGTAAAAAATTGTTATTTAAAAAAAACTCTCTTTATTATTGTAGTGTATCAAGTGAGGTTGCTTAAATTTAAAAAGTGATAACCGGTCGAGATTCAGATTTTAAGAATTTTAGATATTATTGAATAGTGCGTTTGACTTGCAAATTAAAAAGTATTGAATAAAGTAATATTAAATAAGACAAAACATAACAAGATAATTTTTTCTATTATACTCTATTTGATGATTAATGCATTGGATACTTGTTTTCTTGATTTTGTTTCATATGTCTATGTATCTGACAAAATAATTTAGTTTTTACTATATATATTATTTTTGATATAAAGGTGAAAAAAAGAGAAAGAGATATATATCTTTACTCTATTTTATTTAATATATTTATGCAACAGATAAAACAATAGAATTTGTACTATGATAATTTTTATTGATATATAAAATATTAATATTTATAAATGAAAAAATATTAATATTTATAAATGAAAAAATATTAAATAATGAGACGAGAAGAAAAATAGTAAATATGATTTTTTTTCTATTTTATTTGATATGTTGATGAATCAAATAAAAGTAATATAATTTTATTCTAATATTTTTTATTAGTATATAAAATATTAATATTATGTTTATGAATTAAAATATTAAATAATAAGAAAGAGAATAAAAGAAATAAAATTTTATTGTTATTTTTATAATTTATGTTTAAGATAATAAGTTATTCTACATTTTAGTGAAAGACAAAAATTCATGATTTTGTCTAATTCTTTACTATATATTTTATCGAATATCATTACTAATTTCTACATCAAATAACGTAAAAAAATACATTATCCTATCCAATACCTAATTTTAATACAATTTTTTTCTATTCAACACTAAAAAAACAAAATTTTGTTAAAATTCAAGTATTTAAAATTTAATTTCTTATTATTTTATAACCATTAAATTAAAAAAAATTAATGATTAAAACGTAGATTAAGTTTTAATAACTTACTCTTGATGTAATTAAATTCAAAATTTATCTACAAGATAGAAACACAAAATATTATACTTTCTTTTTTTACTTAATTTTTTTGCGATAAAAACTTGACCCGACTAAAAATAAATAAAAAATCATTGGTTTGAGTAAATACTACTCCACGTAAACCCGACTAACCCTACTAAAACTTGAACTGACGATGGATAGATGATAAATTTAAACGCTGCGGTGCGGCTGGCGCGTGGTGAGTAATGATAAAATAAAACAGTAAATTGAAGCATGTTTCGATAACAAATTCCCGCTTAACCCAAAATAAAATAGAAAAAAAAAACAAAAAAAAACCCTCCCTCCTTCCCTCCCTCCAAGACGCAATCCGAAAAACCCTTCCGAAACCAAAATTTGGATCCAAAAAAACGCTCGCTTCTTCCAATTTTCAAATTTCTACCCCGCCACACTCGCCTCTCTCCTGTATTCTTAAATCTTAACGGCTTTGTCGTCTTCTCTCAAAAACAACAATATCATCGTTCTCTCTCTCTCTTCCCTCCAAAATTTTGAATTCCCAGATCCATGGCTTCTTCCTCAGATCCTCCTTCCTCCAGACACCACACCTACGATCGTAAACAAAAATCCCTCGGCCTCTTATGCACCAAGTAATCATCACTCTCTCTCTATTTCTTCTTCATTCTATTCTTTAATTTTGTTTATTGTTTCATCGATTCCATTTTCCGATTGCAGTTTCTTGAGCTTGTACAATCGAGACAACGTTCATTTAGTCGGTCTCGACGACGCTGCCGCCCGATTAGGTCATAATTATAACTATTCATTTTTTTTATTTTTATTTTTATATTTTAAATAAATTCAATCTAACTGTTCTTAATTTTCAGGTGTTGAGAGAAGACGGATCTATGATATTGTCAATGTTCTCGAGAGCATTGGGGTTTGTTTTCTTGTTTCTTTTTAACGTTGTTTTTTTTTTTTTTTTTAAATTTTTATTTTATGTTCTTTCATGTTCCAATGTTTTTTAATTTTGTCTTTTAGGTTCTTGCAAGAAAGGCCAAGAACCAATATACGTGGAAAGGGTTTGGGGCGATTCCTGTTGCTTTGCAGGAGCTCAAGGTAATTTCAATTTGCTTTGTGATTTTGAATTTTGGGATTTGTTTTTTTTTGTTTTGTTTTTTTGATTTTGTTATGGGTTTATAGGAAGAGGGTTTATGGAAGAATTTCAATTCACAAGAAGGTGTCAATGAGGATGTAAAGGTGATTTCTTTTTTGTTTAATTTACAATTTACAATTTGAAATTATTTTTGAAGAATTATTGGTGTTGATTGATTTTGTGATTTAGATATCGGATGAAGACGATGAGGAAGAATCGTATTCCCAACCCAATGGAAGTCAGAGTGAATCATTATCATTATCCCAAACCAATGGAAGTCAGAGTGACAGTCTGAACCCTAATTCTTGTTTTCCCAGATCTCTGAAAAATGGTATGTTTATTACAAACAAAGATTTATGAACATGTTGAGTTTTTTTTATTGTTGTTGTTCTTGTATGTATGATATTGGTTTGTCTTTAAATGAATTGCTTACTGTTGTCATTTGTTGAGGCACTGCACTAGTATTCAGTGTGTTAAATTGCAGTCACATCATTCATAGTATTATGGAGAATCCTGATCATAATTTCATTTCGAGTCTTGTAATGGCTGTTTTGATATCATAAACCTTGATTGATATTAGCCTGGAATATTTGAAAGACAAGAACTGTGTTTTTAAAACTGCAGCACACTGAAAATGAAAAATGAATGTACCTGCTGTAATTTGTTGCTCACTCTTCTACTCTGATGTTTTGTAGATAGAAGAGAGAAATCTTTGGCGTTGCTTACTCAGAATTTTGTCAAGCTTTTTGTCTGCTCTAATGTGAGAATTGTCAAATTTCTTGTTCATTTCATGTTGATTTATGTCTTTAATATCAACACAACGTGTTAAACATGTTTATTAACAATAATAGTCACTCTACTTTATAGCTGGAAATGATATCCCTTGATGATGCAGCGAGGTTGTTGCTTGGAGATGCATACAATTCATCAACAATGAGAAGTAAGTAATAGAATGATTTACCAACTTGTTTGTTTTTATGTGTTAACAAAAGAATCAGTGTTGAACCTTTTCACTTACACTCCCATTTGATTGTCCTTTCAGCAAAAGTTAGACGCCTTTATGATATTGCTAATGTGCTAACCTCCATGAACCTTATTGAAAAGGTGATATTCCTCGCTGCTTTCATTTTATATTTGTTCGTTCATTTGTTTATTGATTATGTCTGCTGTACAAAGTTTTTATGCAAAATGTGATTTTACAAATTGATGCAGACGCATACCACTGATACACGAAAACCAGCATTCAGGTGGCTAGGCTTGAAAGGGAAGACATGGAATGAGGCATCGCTTTACAATTCAAGCCAAGAGTCTAAAAAGAGGGCATTTGGAAATGATGTCACAAACATTAGCTTCTCGAGGAATAGGACCGATTTGTTCATGGGCAGAGACTTCAGCCAGAATCTCAAGAAGCCAAAGCTGATGGAAAACGACAGCGAGCTTGGTCAGGAAGATAGAAAGCAGACTTCAACAAACTACCAATTTGGTCCTTTTGCTCCGGCCTTCGTTTCCAAATCCGGAACTTCTGAGAATACTAAAGCGAAGCAGGTGCATGATTGGGAGAGTCTAGCTACTGAACATTCCCCTCAGTATCAAAATCAAGGCAATTAATTAAGTACTTTAATCTTTTGCACAACTATTAAAAACAATAATTTTCTTTTGAAACTTGTAATCTAAAATCAGTAGCTTGATTATTTGAATATGTTAATGAAGATTATTAAACTGATGTACTGTTATGATTTGCTATTGATGCAGCTTTGAAAGAACTTTACTCCCACTATATGGAAGCATGGAAATCTTGGTACTCTGAAGTTGCTGGCAAGAGGTCAACACAAGTTTTGTAACTTAAAAATCCAACAAAATCAAATAAAATAGCTTTTTCCAAAAGAGAGATAATCCATTATAAGATGCATCTAGATGTACCAACTTAGAGCTATAATTTACGTATTTTTTCTTCTTCCATGGCCTGATATCAGATTAGGCAATATTTGGAAATTCTAAATTACACCTGTTTAGTGTTTACCATAGAGTTTCAACCCTTATTATCTTGTCTTCAGCTGTTATTTTAAGAAAGTCTTGAATAATTTATTTATAAGGAACAAGGTGGTTCCTTATTTCATTTTCCTCTCTTCAAATTGGTCATTAAATTCTATACACTAGATCATAATTGCAAGGATCTAACATGTTCTTGGATGAATCTAATATTTCAGTGTTTGGCATTTAAAAATTTCAAATAACCAGATTCCATATACTTAAAGAATCCCATGTAATTTGGTTTAGAAAACGTGGCATTAAAAAAATGTATCTTTGGTGATCCATTTGATCTAAAAAAGATTCAAGGACCATCTCGCATTCTATAAATAAATTAAGTGACTACAAGTCTTTGAAAACTATATTCAAGCGAGTTTGGTTTTTAATGAACAAATAAATTTTATCTTAATATTAATTGATGATTTTGTAATCGTATTACTAGAATTTCATATTAATTATTTGATTCATGATTAATCATTCAAACTTGCCTACAAAGTTACGAAGAAAATCTAGTTAATACTATTAGATTAAAAGAAAACTATGGTTAATACTATTTTTCTGAGCTGCACACGTAACATGTTTCATTATTTTGTTGTAGAATAAGAGAAAAAGAAAAAGAAATGGGATTTTTCTCAATTTTGCTAATAGAAATTTTTAAACAAAAGTAATATTAAAGGGATAACTGTTCAAACATACACAAAAATGAAATTGGTGAGTTAATGTTGAAAAGTGATTAATTGGAGAAGATGAAGTTTAGAGAGAAAAATAGAGATTATTAGAGAGAATAATTGAGGAGAAACTCATAATTTGACATTAACAAAAAACACATGTAATGAGAGTTTATATAGGATACACTTAAACATTCTTGGAACCAACACAAGTCCAACAAAACAGTAAAAATCACAAAATATCGCGTTAGAAACCGATTTTCTAAAATAGAGAAATCAGTTTCCCCAACAGAAAAACATACAGGAAGTCAAAAACACGTGACAGAAACCAGTTTCCTCAAATTGGGAAACCCAAAATCTTTGCAGCTTCCAAAAGTGTTTTTGAAATAAGTTGTTTTATACGAAACGAAGTTAGAAGCTTCCAGAATGAATTTGAATTATATCCAACATCCAATACACCACCTTAATTCAAATGCTCAATATCCTTCATACCTAAACTCTTCACAAGCTTCTTGAACACATCATTGTCATGCCTTTCGTCAACAAATCCGCATGTTGTTCTTTGCTTCGATAGTATCCTAACTTTAGTTGGCATGCACACACCAGTTCCCTCAAGTAATGAAAACTCATCTCTATATGTTTGCGCCTCCCATGTGCTATGTGATTCCTTACAAGATTAATGACTAAAACATTATCAACCAAGATCGTAACAACTTTTTCTGCACTGCTGCCCAGCTCCTTCAGCAGATTCACAAACCACACAACCTGACACGCACACTTTGACGTAACGATATACTCGATCTCACAAGAAGAAAGTGCAACCACAGATTCTTTTAGAGAACCAAGAGATTGGAGCTCTGCCGAACATAAAGACATAACCAGCCGTATACTTTCGATCATCCTTATCTCCACACCAATTGGAATCCGTATAACCAAGTAACACGTAATTTCTGCCCGTATCAGTTGCGGGAAAGAGAACTCCACAACCAAGAGTTTCTTTGATGTATCTTTGGATCCTCTTAACTACTGTTATGGTTTCTCCATGAATCTACTTGTAATATCGACACTAAACGCCAAATCTGACAGCGTATTGCACAAGTAACACAATGATCCAATCAACCTCCTATATTGAGTTGGATCCACACCTTGCTCATCTTCACTTTTGGACGTCTACAACCTTGCTTCAGACGGTGTTATGGAAACATTACAATACTCCATATCACACTTTTTCAAAATCTTAAGAGCATATTTTCTTTGATGCATAAGCAACTCCAATTTTGACTTATAGAACTCTATGTCAAGAAAGTAAGTCATGATTCCAAGGTCGTTTATTTCAAACTCTTCCATAAGCTCACTCTTGAACTTAGAAATATTCACTTCATTGCTGTCCGTAATTAATAAGTCGTCCACATATAAGCAAAGTATAATCACTTCTTTGCTTGCATCCGTCTTCACATAAACATCATGTTCGGATACACACTTCTTAAAGTCAACCTCAACTAGAAATGCATCTATGCATTTTTTTCAAACTCTAGGTGCTTGTTTCAAATCATAGAGTACCTTCTTCAATTTGTAGACTCATCTCTCTTGATTCTTCACCATAAAACCAAGGGGCTGCTCTACATAGACTTCCTCCTCAAGTGGAGCATTCAAAAATGTAGATTTTACATTCATTTGATACATTGACCAATTATTTCTATTCACATTACCAACAACCATCCGTATAGTTTCCAATCCAGCCATAGGTGCAAACACCTCATCATAGTCTATACCTTCTCTTTGCAAAAATCCCTTCGCTACTAGTCGAGCCTTATGCTTGATAACTTTTCCTTTTGGATTTGCATTCACTTTATAGACCCATCTCACACCGATTGACTTTTTTTGTTCCGGTAAATCAACCAACTCTCAAGTACTATTTTTCCCAATCGGTTCCAGCTTCTCTTTCATCGCACATACCCATTTTGAATTGCTTAATGCCTTTTCCGTGCTCACGGGCTCAAATTCGGCCATAAGTGCAAAGTGAATAAGATCACCATCATTGTTGATCTCATTATCATAGAATACTTCACAATCTCAGAGCCTTTAAGGTAGACCTCTGTGCCTTGTCGAACGTCTACTGGATTCACCATTTTCAACTTCGACCAAATGCTGAGCTGTTTCTGTAGAATGCTGATTTTCTGCATTTTCCGGTGGAAACCGATTTCTAGAAATAGGGAAATCAGTTTTTGCTTCCAAAAATTCAATTCCAACAACTTCAATATGCAGAAATCGCGAAGGAAACCAATTTACTTCTTTTGGGAAACCAGTTTCTGTTGCTGTCATGTGAATTTTTCTACTGTCAAACAACCTCAACTCATCCACGACCACATATCGACTAATCACAATCTTCTTGCTACTCACATTAAACAACTTGTAGCCTCCGGTAGGACCAAGTAGCAACATCATCTCTCCTTTGTAATCCAACTTCTTTCGAAGCTGGCCCGAAATATGTCAAAATGCTACCGAACCGAAAACCTTCAAATAACTCAAAGTTGGTTTATGGCGAGACCATACCTCTTCTGGTGTCACTTTGTCCAGCTTCTTAGTAGGGAACTTATTCAATAAATAGGCGACTGTAGATATGGCTTCACCCCATAGTTCCCTGGACAAGTTTTTTCCCTTCAACATGCTACAAACTATATTCATTATCGAATGCTTTATTCTCTTAGAAACACCATTTTGTTGAGGCGTATAAGGTGGTATAACCTTATGCACTATACCCTTAACATCACAATAATTCCCAAACTCACTCGAGGTATACTCGCCTCCACCATCGATTTTGAGAATTTTTAACTTGTGACCACTTTGCCGCTCTGCCATGGATTTAAAACACTTGAACACATCAAACACCTCATATTACCTCTTGATTATATAAATCCACATCTTTCTACTAAAATCGTCAATAAAAGTGACAAAGTACCTATTTCCACCATCCGAGTCGACTTGCATTGGACCACAAACACCAAAACACACCACCTCAAGATGATGTTTGGTCCTATGACCTGCATTCTTGCTGAAACTATTATTGTGTTGTTTCCCTTGAACACACTCTTCACAAATCTCAGCTAGAATATTAATCTTGGGCAGCCTGGTCACCATACAATTTCTTTGTAACACGTCGAGGTCTAAAAAATTAAGATGTCCAAGACGGTAATGCCATAACCACTCATCATGACTTGCCACTATAGCAAGACATTAGTTCTCCATCACTTTCAACTCTATCTTGAAAGTACGATTTTCAGCCATGGATGCTCTAAAAATTAAGACTCTGTTTCGGTCCAAAACGCGCAAAATCTTATTTTCCATGCGAATTATGTAATTATTTTCAAGAAATTGGCCAATGCTTAAAAGATTACATTTAATTCCAGGAATGTATAACATATATTTGATCAAGGAGTGACTCTCGTCCTTCATCATCATCAAAACATCACCCACACCATCGACCGTTAAAATAATGTCATCCGCGAATTTTACTCTATTCTTCGTGGCTTGATTGATTTTGACAAACCAGTCATTTATATCCGTCATATTTTTTAAGATTCCAAGTACCACTCATCACTGCCTTGAGTTCCATCTCGAACGGTTACCATTGCGTTTCGCTCCAAATGCATTTCTGCAGAATTTTCTGCACTGTAGACACTGTTGCCCAACTTCTGACAACTGCTACTGCTACTGTCCAACAACTTTTTCATGCCATAATTCTCCTCTGTGATCATGACTAGAAGCGTTTTATCATCATCCATCTCTTGTCTAGATACATTAGCTTCATCACCCTGATTTTCTTTAATTTTACATTATATTCTCTTGCAAAATGTCCAAGTTTGTGACAATTGTGACACTTTACACCACTTTTGTCAATCTTTTTGGTGTAGTTACCTTGACCACCAACTTTGAAACTACTCTCTCCCATTTGCACCATGAAGCCTTTGAATTTTGTAACTCTTTGCCACCAAAATTATGAGAATTTTTCTTCCCTTTTGAATACCATTTTCCTTTTGATCTCTTGTTCTTCTCATTGAACCGTGCTTGTAGCGCAATCTCCGATTTCGCCTTGTCATCTCTTTTATCCATCCTTTGTTCATGAGATTCTAATGAGATTTGAAGAT